TGCTTTCCAACAGAAATATAAAGCCAAATCACCTTATTAGATTGATCAGAATCAAAGTTAGCGTTCTGTATGTTATATATCTCTGGTAATTTTTCACAAATATTTCCACAAAAATAAAAAAATAAGCCCGGTGATATCATAATAATGATTCTTCAATTATTCACCCTGTTTGTAAAAAATTATACCATTTAAACTAAACTTATAGAACCTGTTCTTCTAGAAAGAATTGTATATATTTCATCTGAATGTCTAAAACATCGGTTACAAAATCAGTTAAAGGCGATTGGTGGACCCTCTGTAGTGAATAAGTCCAAATAATTATCGAAAGCACCTCTGCAGTGAATAAGTCAAACTAAAATGGACAAAAGCTTCCTCTACAGTTAATAGATCGAATTAAAATGGACAAAAGCACAGGCTGTAGTGTATAGGTCGAGCTAACATCGACCAAAGCGCCCTCTGCAGTGAATAAGTCGAACTAAAATCGACAAAAGCCCCCTCTGTAGTGAATAGGTCGTCCTAAAATCGACAAAAGCGTCCTCCGAAGTGAATAAGTTGAACTTCGACTTTTACTTCCACTTGAGGAACGCAAGTTCAAATAAAAGCTGCTTGGTAGCTATTAAAAAAAATGAAAGCTGACCACAACGCTTAAAAAAATGAAAACAACCGACCAATTTTGATGTATTTTAAAAACATATGGAATAATGGTTTGTGAGTTTATTAATACAGAAACTAAATATTTGACTTACCAGCATAAGAAGCTGTAATCATGGTGACGGCAATAAACCATACAACCAGAACCAGTTCAATGTCACACCCCAAATAGCTGACCAATGGGACCAAAGCGCCAGGAACTACTTGAGCTGGAAAAAAAATTTAACATAAAAAAACGTTGGCGAGTTAGATAATAATTAAGATGCTTACAGAGAGCGGTCATGAGTTTCCGAACGTTAGTTAGAGACATGTAGTTTCCAGTCACTAATTTATCGGCAATGTAGCAGAAAAACACTGATGCGATGTAACTGCAGATAAATGGCGCCCCCGATAGTAGACCGTTCTAAGAAACACATTAAAAATAGTTTTCGCTTGATAAAAATCAGGCAACAAAGCAAACCTTCTCTATGCTAAATCCCAAAATTCGCTTCATATAAGTTGGTCCTGAAATGATGAACGTATAATGGACCCAAATTCGTCCAAAGGTGGTGATTCCAATGGACCAAGCGGCTTTCGAAGTAAGTATGGACTTCCAGGGCACCTGCTGCTGCCTGCAAATCACATATTCAATCACCTCAAGTAACATACAGAAACTTCACATTCTCACCTGGAATTTTCATAGGTATTCACAGTATTTTCTCTAATGTATTTTTGTTCCCTTAAACTGATTCGTGGATGAGTTTCTGGACTATCGAAGGCGAGCAGGTACCAAATAAGGCACCATGCGACGCCAATGGAACCGGTAGTATAAAACACCGATCTCCAGCCGAGATGAGCGATCAGAAATCCGCATAGGGGATAAGTTACTCCTATTCCAATGCTAAAACCTGCAAAAGATTCAACTAGTTAGTTAATCAACTCTAGAAAAGTATGAAAAAAGGGTGAAGTGTGAAAAAAAGTGGTGAGTTTATCCGATGCTTATTAAACTGTCGAGGAAAATTATTGCTTTCTGACGTTTCACCAGCATGGGCGGCTTGCTTCTTCAGAGGTGATTTGTTCGTAGCAGCAACCTCAGACAGACATTCTTGTCCACGTTGGTCCAAAAGCATCGGAAAAACTCGCCAGTTACCAATTAAATGGTTGTGAAAACGTACCTTGAAAACTGGACATGAATCGACTTCTTTCTGGCACAGGGATCCAGTGCCCCACTAGCGCGTACATAGCAGGCCATGTCAGCCCCTAAAATAGGTTAAGTGATTACAGATATCGGGAACATCTGGATGAAGGTGACGGCCGGACCAGCTCGTTCTATTGCTGCCATTCTTCATCGCGCTAAACGACACATACTTTCAATTCAATAGTGGTATGGAATGATGATTTGCGCTAATATTCAAAAACGTTGTCCCTGGTCAGTGTCCGATCTCAAATAACTGAATATGTTAACTGAACTGCTAGCTTCGAGTGCTGACTTTCGGTACAAAATATTTGAACATACAAAAACAAAATGATTAGAGGAGGCACGTGAAGCCAGCTTACCGATGCGAATCCTTGGACGAATCGTAAAGCGATCACGAAGCCGAAATGGCTTTCCGCAGCAATTGGAATGCACAGACTGGATAAGGCGGTGGCAAGCTGAGAATAGCCAAACACGCGCTTGGTTCCCAGTTTTTGAGTGGCCAGTCCACCAACTATTTGGGACACTATGTACGCCCAGTAGAACGAAGCTAACACGTAGGATTGGACTGGGCCTGACCAATTCAAAGTACCGCCATAATCCTGAAAGATTCATAAAGAATTACGGCGTTTACCAACACACAGAAACAGTTTATTAAGGCCTTGATTTGCTTATTTTCCATAAAACCAAAACAATATCATTGAAACCAGGAGATTTATCTGGTAAGAACCACTTTTCATTAAAGGGGAATGTGACCCTGACTGTTTACAATCTCACATTTGCATACTCCATTTTTTGTCAAACAGGGTGAGCCATTTATATCACTTCTAACATTTCTACAAAAAGTCCATGTCATCCTCAATAACATTAAGATTAGATTATTTTTTGATGTAATCATTAAACTTCTAAACAATCAAAATATTTTACAAAAAATGTCTGTTTTGGGTGAACTTTGCAAATATTTCGCAGCACATGTTTTTCCAATTTGTAAACAGTTTCCGTCATGTTTATACAGAATACATTATTCGGTATATTACATTTTTCACGTCAACATGTAATTGATTGTAACCGCATAATTACACGGAAAATTGCATAGCTTGATAAAGCATAATTTTCCGTCATGCAATTTTAAATAGTGTTTGTTTGCACTTATCTATATCGAAATGAATACTGGGTGGTCAATTGATGCCGAACAATTGCATGAAACAATGATAACACAGGAGCGAATACACGAACAAATGTGTATTTATTAAACTGTAGATTTGGTCAAGTAAAAATACAGTAAAGTAAGCGTTTAATGACATTTCAAGAGAATCATGTAGGACTGTAGAGATGAAAACATGCGAACGAAAGCACACAAACATCCATTCAAACTCCCATAAACTAAACAAAAAACATTAAGGGCGAAAATAAAGTTTATATGTTTAAAATGTGAACATAAACGTTTAACTGGAACAGAGCAGGAAAAGTTTAAGAAAGCCAGAAACTGAAAGAAAATAAAATGACTGTTATTAACTATAAAACATAATTATCTACATCAGTATACCAGATTGGACAGCAAGGACAGAAAAAAAATAAAAATAAGGCAACACCGATGTTTTTGCTCGCAAGTTCAAGTCAACACAATTACATGTTTTATATCCAATTTTTCCTTACCAATGGAGCAGTGTTGTTGTTATCTTCGACCACAAAGCAATATTCTGCTGAGGAATTGGCCGTATGAGGTGGCTCAGCAACCATAGCCACAATAGCTAGATTGATGTCGTTTCTCATCATAAAAGAAACCAGAAAACCGGACCATGATAAGAGATAGAGTACTAGCCTGGCTGGTACTTGTCCTAGAAAAAACCGAAAATACTTTTCTTATTTTTAGTGGAAGCATGACAAATCAATTTTTCAAGTGCAAATCAGCTCCTATTTATCCTAATCTTGGTGGGTCTGAAATATTTCATCAGATTGTCTGGGTCCAAAATATTTATATTGAGTACTCTCTTGACATTCCAATAAAAATATTGATTCCATAATTACTTTGCATTTACTAAGTCAAAACGAATACTCCATCATTTTTTTATTAATTAATTGTTTTGCAATTGAAAGTGCATGAGGCTCGAAAAGCAGTTTAAACTTTAAAGCACCCCATTTCAATGTAGCTTTGAAAAAGGATTTATCGGTTGGAATTAATTAATTCAAAGCCCATTAAACTACAATGGCTGCCCATAATAAGCTAATATTAATAATACCCAATTATAAATACCGCACGCATATGTTTAGTCAGCAAAAAGCATCAAATCGTCTATCATGTGACCGTTTCAAATATACCGTGCGTTTACGATGAAAGGAACGAATTAATTTGAAATGTTCATGAGCGATTCGAAATGCACATAGTTTGCAAGTTGAAACAAAACGTTTTATGTTACATTATATTTTGACACAATTTACAAATTTGTTTGCAATATTTTGCACCATTTCATTGGCTTTTTTGTTGCTACATTTGAATACACGCCCAAGAAAAATTAAAGTTAAAATTATATCCAAATATGTAGCAAATGAAAAAAGGCTAAAAATAGTTCTAAAAATTATCTTTACAAGAGGCCCTGATTATAATTGAAATGTGCAAAAAATCCAGACATGGAAGGTTTTTAACATGACGCACGTCGATTAAGACATGTGGCTGATAATCTTTAATCGAATAACGCTTTATTACCCACGATCAAATACAACTCTAACTGCAAATCATCATTACAAATCCAAGTGAAGTACATGCTATTAATAAAGTGAGGCATATTGCATCACGTAAAATGGCACGTTGCAGATAAGGCTTTGAGTGGGCTGATGATGAGATTAAGAAGAATATGACCTGTACAGACTACAATCAGGCAAAGTGATATTGAAACTCCTAACCCAGTTTGTTTAATTTACATACACTTTAATGCGAGTTACTTACCAAAAATTCTGTATACCAAACACTTTTTTGCTTCTTTGGGATAAGTGAGGTCGTTGCTATAAACTCGCTCCTCCATTGTAAAGTGATCAATGTGTGTGTGTGTCTTCGAACTATTGTATATACAGCTGAAAACTCTTAACGAGAACTAATCACCGACATATTTGGCCACTGGTAGCGTCTAGATGAAGCGATGTTGGGCAGAGTCAAGTGCTTAACTGCAAACAATAATCCGAATTAAAACTTTTCTAAGCTTCCATACAAAACCAGTCGCTATGCTCAAGATCGTTTAACAACCTTCCAGCAAGACTTGATGCAAACTTGGCCAACGTATTTAATAGATCAGCATTAAACAATATTGGTACATTGTTTAATACTGCATTTAAAACATTTGGTCGTTGATAGCAACAATACTCTGGAAGGAGAAGCGTTTAGAGCGATAACTTTATTATTGAAGTTATGACTAACGTTTCGATACAACTCACACAGTTTAATTAATTAATAACAATGCTTATTCGTTACTGGCAAGTCCTCCTGGATATACCTAGTCAAATGCTTAAATTTTTTACAACTTTGAGCGCTAATTCAATAGCGTGATTCTGCACATACGTGCCCTGATAAATATTAACTGTCTAAACTTACTTGCCACTTAAAGAAGCAAACGGAACTAGTGACTACGGGAAAAAAAACTCCCTAATCACTGAAGTATCGCGAAAAACTAATCATCCAACATCTGCACAGTTCTAACTGAGCAGAGCTTTGCCCGATTTGATTGGACATAGATCAAAAGCATAACTGGTTTTAATTGATGTTCAGAGGATAAGCCATGTGCAAAACACAAGGTTGGAGCCGAAAAAGCAATACAAAGTAAACCAGAAAATTATTGAAAACAAAAGGCTCGAAACCAACGTCGGAAATTGGATTTGCAAAACAATAGCGTATTGAGTTGAATATTTATAAATCATTCAATGGTTGCGATCTATTCTAAACAGCTTGAGTCTAGATGTAGATTTTTTCATATTAATTAATTTTTTGGGCACCTGGTAGATTTCATGGTTTGGTGGACTTTGCTCACGACGGTACATGACTCATTGGCCTGGGAACCGAAAAACCTCTGCAGACTTTTTGTTACTAAATAATCAAGATCGCAGCACCTTGATGAACAAAAGGTTGCGACCTTTGGAAAAACCATGTCACGTAGAATAATGCATAGCTTGGATGATTAAGGGCAGCGAAACCTCTTGAAGGTTTTCACTTGCTGTTTTCACTTCCTGCTTTGTTGCTGCTCCTTCTTTTAACATGTGAAGATGTTGAATTTTTTCGGGACGAAACGTAAATTAGATTTTCTAAATCTTCGATATACTTCGATAGATTACATCGCTTGCTTATGCAATCGGAATTGCACAGAAATTAGCTCAGCTTTCAGATTAACAAACAAGCCAAGCACTAATCCACACAACAGTCAATTATTCTCGTATAATAAACTAAAAGTAAATAAACATAGTGCCAGTCTGCGCCCAAACGAGTTTATTGGCGAGTTCATTGGAGGTAGTTCTTCTGTGTATTGATGATTGCGATGATTGCATCATTCCGAAAAACATCGACTGGAAGAGTTAATTACCATAAAAAAGAATAAAACGTGTAATTCTTAACAAAAAGTTTAAGTTCTCAATTGAAATTTTGCAAAAGTTTTACATTTGTATTTGTATAGATTCTATTTAGTAAAGGCAAAAAACGTGTCTGCGCGATAATGAATTACCTGCAGACCAGCTTATTTTTACAGATATTTGCTAAATGTGCAATTAAAAATAGATTTAAACCAACTTTACTAATGGAAAGGCAATTATCGAGTGTGAAAAGTAGTTTTGAAAATGACTAATCTGGGCACTTAAAAATCGTGCGTTTCCAGAAAAGAAACCAATAATACGTACCCCGATTGGTTGGGTGGTTTAATGAGAAGACCGAATAGTGAGCGCGCTTATATGCAAAACTTAAAAAATTATAACTCGACGAGCTGGATGGAAATGTTTAAGTATAAAAGTAGGACATGTTTGCTAGCGGATGCAATAAATAGCTAGCATGGAATGTAACCCAGTTCGGGCTAAAAAATATATATCAGAAGTCGACGCTCAGAAAGACTAGACATCAAAGAAAAACAGAACAAATTTTAACAGGGTACCAAAATTTTGTAAAAGCAAATTAAATTGGGGCATTCCAAAAAAAATTAATTACTGGGCTTTAATAAAAAAAAATTAAGCTGAATGAAACATAAGAGAACTTACTTTTCTTTCCTAAATTCCCAATACTAACTATGAGAAACTAGTTTAAGCAAATCACTTGTTAGCTGTAAAATCAATCGGGAGAAATCAATCAATTTATTCAAAAGCATATTCTTATCACTGAAATGTCCTTCTTATCAGATAATGCCAGAAGAGTAGTGATATGCCATTCAAGGATATGATCCTTCGACACAATTATTTTTGGAACATCACAAAAAAAACTCTTGGCAGAAAAACAGTGTAACGAACAAACGCTAAAAATTTTGAACAAAGTCCGGTTATTATCATTTAAAAATTCGCTGCATTGTTATTGACAAGAATATTTTTTCAATCCATGCACATGCTGGCTGTAGACATACTAAACATGATAAACATTCCACCTAATTAATTGCAATCATGGGATTTGTGTACCAAGAATTTCCATACAGCTTCTGGGTTAACTAGTTTTCAATTGAGCAATTAACTTCGCCATGTGACTAAAGAAGCGATAACATTATTGCTCATTGTAGGAATTTCATACAAAAATCGTTTGGGGGAATGTTTAGGCAAATATAAACTGTAATAACTAGCATTCGTTTGAGTCAATATAAAATTTATATCTACTAAAGCTTAATAGTAATTAATCAAGGAAATGTCCCTGATGAGTGTGTGTAGGTTGGTTGAGATTCCTCGGATTACTCTTGGCCAAAAGACATTGCGAAATATTGCTTTGTCCTGGTTTCTGACCTTTTTTTGCCGACCCGGATAATGACGCAAGCACAAATCACTTGGAATTGGAATACATTTCAAATAAATACGCACTCCAAATTACAAAACATTCTGATTTATTTCTGCTAAGTTTTCAGTCGGTTACCGTAAAACATACGACGTTTATGTTCTTGTTGGTATTTATATTTATCTATTGTTTCTTTCGACTCACCCGAACATACATTACACAGAGTACTTCGCATATGCATCTCCCAGTTGGATAAAATTATACTGCAAATGCCGACCAAACAGATCAAATAGTGCAACTTGAATAATACACCGGCAAAAAAGCACAGTTCTTGGGAATTTCGACACACTCATTAATATGACAATAAAGTGCATATAATGCTCACAATACAATACACGTATGACACTTATTTTACGATTATGACTTCTATAAAATGTAATTTGGTGTATTAGATTAAAATGCTTATTTTCCCTAACAAGTACAGTTGATAACTGAGGCTAATGAGGCCGCAGATAAGTAAGTTGCTTATTAACTTTGCAGAGAGAGATGTATGCATGCTTATTGGGCGTTTTATGAAAAAAAATGTTGAAACATATTTTAGATAAAGTTTAGTTAAACATCAACTCGAGCTGATGGTTTTAACAGTAAATACCTACGAAACCCCAATGAAAACATAAAGGGGTCTCAATAATGTTAGAGAGTGAAGACTTATGAAAATTAGCTTAGTACAGTAGAGAAGCCTTAGGTGAAACTGAGGGGGTGAATTTACCTGATAAGGAACTATGGGCACTACACTTGAAACTTTGAGTAAACCGAAAAACCCTGCCATGGCCTTAGGACTGACTATTAACAGAAAATAGGAAATTACTGATTCAAAACCCCGGCTACAAACCCCTGTAACAATGAATGAATGAAAAACTATTGATTCTAGTTGTCATTGTGACAATCTATCAGCTTGGGTGGCTAAGGTTTCCTTGTGGGGTGGAACAGCTAGCTGTCAGTTCTCCAGAGATGTCGCACAAAGCATAGGGCATGCCAATACTAAAACATGCACTAAATACTTAAACTTTTTGATCATAAAAATTATTTTATAGTGTGAATTGATTTACTGAATATGTGTAAAGCGGCGGATAATCATTTAGGCATTTAACACAGTACAAGGTTTGTATACATCAATAGATGCCGCTGCTCTAAAAACCCATTATATTTTTTTACAAAAACATTGGAGATTTTGGATGAGTAAAATACAATATAAATAAATAAACGTATTAACAAAATAGTGGAAATGAATGAACTGACCTCTCAAAATATTCTATCACAATTAAGGTTGTCCCGCTTCGGGGACCTCGTACGTCCCATTGCTTTTACACTCTTCATCCCAATTTTCCGGAATCACATGCCTTGTCAGATCTACTAGTTGGTCCAATGGGCAGAAGCTATCACAACCCGGAATAGTCAATTTAAATGGGGGAACTGAAGTGGAATTCCGCAGAAATATCTAAAAAAGCATTGATCAAGCATGCATTCACAGTGAAACTGCCATAGAAATGCTCCCCTTCTCAAACAAATGCTTTAAAAACTGGTATTACTCGCAGTTGTTGACTGGCAGGATATTAAATTCTTAGATTTCGATTACCTCAACGCCATAAATTCCTGAGGAAGTCTTGGATAATTCGAGCAAAACAGTTATTCCATATTCGGGCATTTGCGAATCCCAAACTTTCAAAGTCCTCATCAAATTCACTATAGTGGAATCATGCCCTCCATACAAAAACGCCTTTCGAGCTGGAGGCGAAATCGTTCCTTTGGCTTTTGATTGCCAGTCGCCAATCATTTTTTTTAGAAGCAGTCCTATTACAAAAAAAATTGTCCCTTTCAAGCAAAAGTATACTGAAAACGTTCTCACCTCCTTTGAATCGGTTCATTTTATCGTTCCAAGCATTCAGCACAAAGCTGAAGATGGTCGGTTCGAGCATTTTATCTGGGTAGTACTCTTTGGTCCAATCAGGCAACGTTAAATTGAACCCATCCTGCAAAAAGCCACATTTATAGCAAGCACAGAACGAATTCAAAATTTTCACTTACTTCAGCCTTTAAGGTACTGTAAACATCCATAACATCATCAAAGTCTTCTACAGGTCGTCCAGTGTAGTTCGTCATAGCTTCAAACAGTCCCCGACTGGCATTCAGTTTGGCTTGGATTTCTTCCGACGCTACAACTAAATCGCGCTCGATATGGTATGCTGGGCAAGGTTTTCGTACCAGCAACAACTAGAAGAATGAAAATTTCATCAGTTTCAAATGCGAGAAGAAAACAGCGA